GATTCGTACTTCAGCAAACCCAAGCATAGAAATATTATAAATAAACAGTAAAGGGCAGCTGCTGAATCTCTGAAGTTTCGGCTTCCGTAAAGCCAAGCAAAGCAACCATCACACTTCCAAAAATCAGTATCCATGAAAGCAAATTATAAAAATATCCAATCTATCAATTTGAAAGTTCTGCTTCAACAAACCAAACCAAAAGGATACCCATCTACTTTGAAGGTTCAACATTTTCAAAATGCAGCTCCACCAAACAATACCAAAATGTTTAAATCCTCATAAATATTATCCATACACAGCACAGGAAGGCTGCTGAACATGTGAAGGTTCGACTTCAGCAAACCAAATCATAATAACTATCATAGTTGCAAAAAACCCGGCTCCATTATACCCTCATTTTGAAGGTTCAGCTTTAAGTAACGACTTCAGCAAACTAAAGTAACTAAACTAAAGTAACGACTGCAGCAAACTAATGGTTCAGCTATGATAGTTTTGGTATAAGTAACGACTGCAACAATGTGGTGCATACACGTTGATGGACAAAATCCATTTAAGCCAAATCACGTTGATGTGTTCAAGAAACTAGCCAAACCACGTCAATGCTTCAGCTAATGTATCTCAATGGTTCGTTTAGCCAAACCACGTAAAGCATCAATGGATCGACTTCAGCAAACCAAAACACAAAATCTAAATCCAGAAAATCCATTTAAGACAAACCACATCAATGCGTTCAAACAAATATATTCAAATCCGAAACGAGAAGAGCTCCAACAGCAGGTGCATACCCAAGCAAAACAGGAAATCAAGCAAAAAAGGAAATGAAGTTCAAATTGACCATCAACATGGATTCCTGTTGGTTCAGCTTCAGCAAACCCAAAAAGAGAATACCTGAATTTATATGTTTCAGCTAATGTAAAACTACATCCACAAAAGAAAAGAAGGGATTTGATCTATTAACAAGAAAGTCATATTCATGGTGTAAAATACATGAATGCTTATTAGATTTTCCCAAAACTCGAGTACCACCTATGCTCAAAAAAGAAATATAGAAACCTATACCTCTTAAGTCAAATAAGAGAAAGTAACTTAAGAGAAGTAATAAAAAAACGGAGTAAAAAAATTCTAGAAAATTGCACATAGTTCAATTGTGTTATGTAGAGCAAATAATCACAAGATGAACTTCCAAAAATTTAAAGACGACACCATATGTTCTATAGAATGAAATTCAGATATGCTGCATAACAAATTGGCAAATATCATGTCTAGAATCTTCCATAACACAATTCCCCACTCAAATACTTCCATAACAAAATTTTCATGTCTAGAATGTTCAGCAAAATTTTCATGGATATCTGCATAACAAATTCAGATATGTTGCATAACAAACAGCAAACCCAACCATCACACTTCCATAACAAAATTTAAAGATGAACTTAAGAGAAATAATATTTCTTTTCAAATATGCTGTCTAAAAACTTGGAGCTAAATTCAATTCCCCACTCAAATACAAAGAATACTTTTGTACCCCAAACAAAAATCATCAAATTAAATTATGTTATGCAAAATAATGATTTTTTCATGTTCCACTGTATCTAAATTCAAAAAGTTTGCTATATACATTGTGAAAACAATTGCAAATCACCCAATATGAGCACCTCTGACACGAATAATCCAATTTAATAGAAATTTTGATGCAGTCAAATAAATTTCTGCAAGGGCGTCATATTTCAGGAACTAACTACTTATATTTGCAGTGTACACCCAACTACAGAACCCAACTACTTCACATTGTGTTTTCTACAGGCAAATAATAATATAAACTTCAGTACTACATCACTAATTCTGCATGATCATCCATTTTTTTTGAGATTTATCGACATAATCTTTTTAAATTAGCATTCCAGAATATAAGTTCATGTACCGTAATTTCATAAACTTTTTTTCAAGATGAAATGCTTGTTTGATATACCCCTTCATGCTCTTTCGAGTACACATCATTTCAATCTATAATCAGGTAAAGAAATAATTTTTAAGAAAGAAATGCTTAGGTTCATGCTATAGATGTCAATGAAGAGGGCTAAGAAAATATTTGTTTGTAAGGAAACAGAAAAACATCAGTTAAATGCAGCCTTTTAATTTGTCATGCCATCAAGATTCTTCGGTACATGAACTTATATTCGGCAAATAGAAGAAGAAAGAGGAAGTAAAGAAGAATGGCATTTAGCTACAGATCTTCGTATGCCATAAGATCGTAGTAATAAGAAGAAGCCATTTAGCTACAGATCCACCACACGAAAGAGGAAGTAAAGAAGAATGGCAGAAACAGGAAAGAGGTGAGAAGGAGAAGACAGTAGGAGCCGCAAAACGCACATGCTTCCTCAGATCGGCAAATAGAAGAAGAAAATGGCTCTTCTTACCTTAGGTCTGTCGGTCGAGGGACGACGAAAGAGAAGAAGGAGAAGGGGACGCGAGGGAAGCAGCGAGGAATGACCTTAGGGTAGACGCGGGGAAGCAACGGGAAATCACCAAGGGTAGACGCGGGGTAAAGGGTAAAAGTTATGGAGGAAAGCGGGAGACGCGATGGTAATGCCGCTGCCCGCTTTCACTCCGCTTCCGCCGCCAGAATGCCCGAAGTCGCGAACCAAACAGGTGACTTTCACGAAAAGCTGCGTGTAATAACCGCGCCGCGCCTAAAAAGCGCTCCCAAACAGACCCTTAATATCATTATCAACCACAAGAGCTTTGATGTTTGCCACAAATAACAAAAATGCTGAGAAAGACATTTAAATAGTCCACTCTATCTTTCATCGAAGTTCATGATTCAAAAGACAGTTAACTTCCTAATGTTTTCAATCAAAATAGTGGCAATAACTGACTAATTACAACCCAAATTCCCATAAAAATATCATAGGTTCTTGTCCAATAAATCACTATAAATATATGATAAGATAAAAATGATTATTGTTAATTACATATAAAATAACACAGAGATTTAATTGATTCATTTAAAACTTTCATTTTTACCACCCAATCCTATGCTTAGAACATAGGATATAACATAAGAATTATATGGTATATATTTGTAAATATAAATGAAATATATGGTATATATGTAAATACCCTGAAATAATTATATTTTTACAATGATCTTCTCAACAACTACAGGCTTAGGAAGTCCTCATAAGCCCTCCCATTTCCTTCAGAAACCAGTTCTTACTCGGAGAAAAAGGATTCTCTAGCTCAGATTAGCTCGACATGGGGGCTCTCGGCGGGATCGCCGGCTTCCTTCTCGCCTGTCTTCTTCTTCTTCCGTCGGCCCGATCTTTCTATCTTCCCGGCGTCGCTCCTCGGGATTTCCAGAGGGTAATTCGACTCAACTGATCTGGATCTAGTCAGCGATTTGTACTCTACTCTTTTTTTTATCACAGAGATCTAGCATTATTTCTTAGTGTTGAATAGGATCTAGGGTTTGGATTTATGGATCTCTGATAGGGATGCAGCTGCTGCTTGGTACTGTCGTTTTTTATTTTTTCTTGAGGTTTTGCTCTTTTGCTGGTTAGGTTGGTGCAGCTTTCGTTGTGTTTTCTCTTTTACTGCTGGTATTGGCTGGAAGATTTGGGTCTTTGGTTTTTGGCGTAGGAGTTGTGAATTTTGGGACCTCGTAGAATTGTATGGTGGAAAGCGTTTTGATTGAGGCTGTTTATCGCTTTTGTTGTTTTCTGAAAACTGGAAAAATGAAGTATTTTTACACGTTCAGGAAAAAAAAGGGTTTTTCTTGGTTAAGTATTTTGGCTTTTCAAATCATTGCTTTTTGCGTTACATTGATAGATCTGCTGGAATAGCGTTACAAACCTTGTTTATTTTTCGCTGTTTTTGATTTCCGAAGTGTTTTGCCTTGCTTATTCCGGCATTTTTTTTTTCATTTTGATTTTCGCCCTACATAAAATGGTCATCTTTGTCTTCAAATTGAGTTTTGGATTTTCAGTTTTAGTCCAGGGTTTCTTTTGCGTTATTACTGTCTACATTTGTGCAAGTAAAACCCTTTCCTAGATCCAGTGTTATTATTGGTGAATCTAACCTGAACTTTTAGTTTGCATTTTTCATAAATTTCCCTCTTCTTCAGATGCAGCATCTCTCCATTCCCGTGTTATTCATTTTGTTTATTTAGAATATTGCTCATCCTATAGCTTTATTTTTTATAAAAGGCATCTAAAATTATAATTTGACTGTTAGGTTGCCATGCAATGTAACATATATCATGAATTTGCCAAATAAAATCTATGAATTGCCTCGCATTCAATTTATCCTCTTGGTTTTGATACTCAGGCGGTGATTCGGCATCTTACGATGAATCTATGCCATTAATCTACAATTGTTCTCTTATCTCTACCAACCTAGCTAATCCTTTAATAGACCTTATTTCACGCGTAAATCCTATTTTATTTGATTTTCATTCATTGTTTTCTCTCTTTGTTCTAATATATTTTTTATACTATGAGATTTTACAAGATTTAATCTCCTAAGCATACATCCACAACATTGCTAACTAATGTTCTATATTGGTCTTAGAATTTATTGTTTTTTTTCCCCTACTTAAATTCTTATCCTCCATAATCCAAGTTTATACATTCACTATTATTTAAATTCAATCAAATTGTTCTCCCCGAGGACCATTTGCTTTCCAATTTCTAAGGGGTTGTTTGGCTACAAGTAAGATTTAACATTAGTAGGATTTAGTAAATGAGTTTAATCCACCTTATCCCTGAATTTAATAAATCTAGATTCAAGTTGAACCGAAGGAAAAATAATTGGGATCATATATCTGAAAATGCATAAATCCATGGAACTGCATTTTAGCGTTTGGTTGGATTTGATAAATCCGACAATAGATCTTGTTAAAATGTTCACCAAACATCCCCTAAACTTGTGACCTCTTCTTTTGTGATTTAATCATTGTAGGACTGCCGTAAAGCACATGGGTTACTACAATTGGACATGGAACGGTGTCATCAATTTTTAATTAATCTCCATTACCAAGCTCCCATGCCTCCTTTGCTTCAAATATAAGACACATTTCACCTACATCTTCCCCCTCAAACGTAACTCAAGTCCCTATGACTCTATTTCTTCTTTTTAGATTACTCCTCGGTTAAAGAATTGGTTTGATAGTACAAAAGTATGAGCTATGGTGAGTTTGTGGTACATTTCTTTGTCATCTCAATGAAGTTGGTATCCCTTGGATTTAGACTTGAAGGTCAAATAAATAGGGGAAGAATGGGCGTTCTCCTCCTTTGGGAATATGTGCTTTTTATGTAAAGAAAAAAGAGGCCAATACCAAATGAATACTACCTTTTCCCTAGGGGCTGTACGCTTTATAATTTAATGCTATATCCTGTTGTTTATATCTGGTTTATTGCAATTACAAAATATTCATTGTCTATTGCGATGAAAAAAAGCAATGATATTCTAGCGCCAATCGCGGTTCAAAATTGCGTAATATGAAGCTCTACTCAACAATTTTTTTTTGAAAAATTCTCAACAAGATTTATGCCTTTTTGGGTACTACATGAGGTTTACATTGCAAATAATGTGAGGCCAACCCACACCTCAGTTCTGGTCAGACGTGCACAGTTAGTTATAGGGTTTTTTTAATAAATATAAATAAAATAACTTTGATAAATATTATTTATTTACTCATATATAATACAACTAATGATACCATTAAAGTTGTTATTATCAATTTTGTCATTATTTTAAAGTTAATAAATATTTTTATTATAACCTTGAGATTAAGAATGAGGACGAGGATTGTGAGAACATGAATTTAATTGAGGATATTATGAGGGAGAAATCAAATCATCATGCTAATGATTTCAATGAAGGCACATTAAGTAATGAGAGTTATTTAGATTTTTGAATTTATAAATTCTAAGCCTAGTGCCTTATTATGTTTTTATCTTTTATTGAGGATAGTAGGAGTGTGAGAGAGACTAATTGTACCAAGCTTTTTTAAATTGTTATGTTATTATGTCTTACTTTAATGCTTATATTACCATTCTTATTTTATGATTTAATGTTTTGATATTTATATGATACTTATTATTTAAATAATTATTACTTTACTATATTTGGATATTAATATGTTAGGATGTTAATATATTGTTTTTTATCACACACTTTGAACTAAGTACAATACTTCTCATATTGCACAATTTATTGATTTTTTGATTTTGAGGCTTACCTTTTATAAAGCCTCTACACTTACCCATCATCACAAGAATAAACAAGGTCTCAATATCCAACGGCACAATTTTAAAGTTTGATGTCAACCAAACATTTTGAAAATTTATGCCCACCAAAGTAAACGAGTAATCTAGAAAAATACATTGAGTAAGATATATGTAAAACAGTTGAATGTCATTACTACCAGTGTTGTGGCATATTAGGATATTAATATGTTACACTTCAATATATTAATATGCTAGGATGCTAATATATTATTTTTATCAAACATTTTGAACTTAGTACAATACTTCTCAGTTGTCACATTGCACAATTTGTTGATTCAGAGGCGTACGTCTTAAAATGCCTCCATGCTTGCATATAGTCAGAAGGATAAAAAAACATCCCAATACCGAGTTGCGCAATTTTTAAACTTTGACGTCAACCAAAACGTTTTGAAAAATTATGCCCACCAAAGTAAACGAGTAATCTAGAAAAATACATTGACAAATATATATGCAAAACAATTGAATGCCATTGTTACACACTACTTGGCACATTCACCTTACACACACCAGTGATGTGGCATATTCATTATATTTAAAAATCATAAAGATAGAGGTTTGATTCTTCAAAAGAAAGTATGAAGTGTGAGCCACAAAGTGTGTAAAAGAAGTATACGAAAAGAAAAGCTTCAAGCTGATTTTGTATACGAAAAGAGAAGCTTCAAACTGATTTTGTATAAATAATGCGTGTAAGTTGCCTTCATTAGTTAAGCACACTTGAACTTTTTCTGAATAACTTGATTTCTGGATGCATTCAGAAATATATACTCCTAACGTGGCTTTAAATTCTGTAAACTGCACCCTGAACAAGTTATATAGGTTTTTGAATTGTTTTAGGGAAATTTCCATATGTAGCACGAGTCTTATGTATCACATATCTCATGCCTAAAACTTCATATTTACATACTTAGCATTTTGGTGCTTTAAACCTTTGCATGAAAATGTGTATTCCACTTTTAAAAAGTGGTAATAATGTTGATGTGATATCGAAGATTTGAGTGCTTTGTGGGTAACTATGGAAGATTAGATGTGAGATACGTAAATGCATAAGAATTGCGTGGTATGTATGTAAATTTCCCTTTTTTTATTAGGTATATTGCTTATTATTTGTTTTTTTTAAACTTTTGCTAGGGAGATGAACTTCAAGTGAAAGTTAATAAGCTTTCATCTACAAAGACGCAACTGCCTTATGAGTATTACTATTTGGAATATTGCAAGCCTGAGAAAATTGTAAATAGCGCTGAAAATCTTGGAGAGGTTTTGCGTGGAGATCGCATTGAGAACTCTTTCTACACAGTAAGCGGTCTAAGATTTTTTACCGTTTCCAAATATAACCGAATGTTGTATTCTTAGCTAGAAGACGAAATTCCGAATTTGATTATATTTCAAATTAACCATGTGCAATTCAGTTTAAAATGAGGATTGATGAAACATGCAAAATTGTCTGTCGGCAAAGGCTTAGTACTGAAGGAGTGAAGAACTTCAAGGAGAAGATTGATGATGAGTATCGAGTAAACATGTAAGTTTTTTTCCTTTGTTTCTTCATTTTATTGAATTAAACATTTTTTTTGATAAGTTTGAAATTTCATGTGAATTTCTTATTCAATTTGGCCGTTTTTTAAATCTTTCAAAGGAGAGCTAGATACACAGGGTTCGGCATGTAATAGCACGTTAATTTGGATGGCAAATGTTAATGACTACCAGTGTTATCCTCGTTGTTATGCATGATGTCCATATTCCTGTATTTTGTTATGGGATATACCTAGCACACAATTCCTATGTATTTGCATATCTCATACCTAAACTTTCATATTTACGTACACAAAATTTTGATGTTCTAAACCTATGCATGAAAAGGTGTATTTTGCTTTTAAAAAGTTGTAATAGTGCACACACAATTCCTATGTATTTGCATATCTCATACCTAAACTTTCATAGTTACGAACACAAAATTTTGATGTTTTAAACCTATGCATGAAAAAGTGTATTTTGCTTTTAAAAAGTTGTAATAGTGCATTTTTTGATGTGATATTGAAGATTTGAGTTCTATGTGTGTAAATATGAAAGTTCAGATGTGAGATACATAAATACATTAGAATTGTGTTCTATGTATGTAAATGCTCCTTTTGCTATTTTTATATCCAAGATGGGCTATTTGATGTATGGTGACTTGTAGGATATTGGATAATCTCCCAGTTGCAGTTCCAAGGCAAAGAAGAGATGGAATCCAAGCACCTAGTTATGAGCATGGTTTCCGTGTCGGTTATAAAGATATCCTAGTTGCCGGTGTAAGTTGCGTGTTTTGCTTTTTTTTTTGGATGATTTACATATATACCTCTCAATTCCTATGTATTTACATATTTAACACCTAAAGTTTAATTTTTACATGTTCATGCAAAGGTGTATTTTACTTTTTAAAATTAAAATGGTGGTATTTTGATGTGATATGAAAGGTTTGGATGGTATAATGTAAAAAAGCAAAATTTAAGTGTTAGATTTGGAAATTCATAGGAATTGAGAGTTAATGGGCTGTTCCTCACTGCTCCCTTTTCAAGTTAATGGGCTGTTCCTCACTGCAAATAACATGCATAATTTTATTTACAGACTAAAGACGAAAAGTATTACATCAACAATCACTTGAGCTTCACGGTTAAGTACCATAAAGATGCTGAATCAGAAGATGCTCGAATTGTTGGTTTTGAGGTTATCCCAAGCAGGTAAAATATTAGAGGCACGTATTTGAATTTGGCTGATGTTACCTTTTGACTGTAAGTATTTATTACTTCTTAACAGGAAACAAACGCACATAATCTTTAGGAAGATTTAATTACATACCTCTTAATTGTTATGTATTTACGTATCTAACACCTAAACTAAGTACAATTTTTACATATATGCCACTTTACCTATGCATGAAAACTGTTAGTACTTCTTAATGTTTTACATAGTGCTGTGTCCATGAATGTATCTACATATCTTACACCTAAAGTTTGATTTTTACATATATGCTTCTTAAGATTTTCCTTTTTGAATAATGTTTTAGGGGCATTTATATAAATAACACATATTTCTTATGTATTTACATATCTCACACCTGAACTTTCATATTTACACACGTAGCCCTGAAATGTTTAATATCACATTAAAGAATAACGCCTTTTCACCTTTTAAAAGTGAAAATATACCTTTTCATGCATAAGTTCAAAGCGCTAAAATGCTATCTATGTAAATATGAAAGTTTTGGTGCGAGATATGTAAATTCATAAGAATTGTATGCTCCGCATGTAAATTTCCCATAATCGTAAGAGCTTATTTGGTCTCTTTTGCAGCGTCCATCATGAGTTCAGTGAAGGTGATGATAAAAATCTGAAATTATTAACCTGCAATCCTAACACCAAAATAGCTCCTGGTACTCATGCTCCTCAGGAAGTCACCGCTGATGCAGATATTGTCTTCACATATGATGTCACCTTCCAGGTATCTATTTGCTCATCTCTTCTGATTTTAAAGCAGGTTTTTTATTTTTCAGGGTTGATTCTTAGTTTTTCACTAGAAATGTGTCAAAATGGTCGCCTTACTCTTTGCAGGATGTTTTTTTTAGGCACAGAGTTCGTAAAAATGTCAATTTAGTCCCCAAATTTTTTTAATGGCTGCTAAAACAGTCCGCTTTTTGGACTATTTCTGCCCGGATGAAAAGGTTATTGGGATTATTTTGGTACTGTTATATATTCTGGGACTAAAACGAAGCTATGGAATTAGTTATAGGACAATTTTAGTCCGTATTAAAAAATTTAAAGATTTACATACATACCATACCACTCAATCTTATGTATTTACCAATTTAACATATAAACTTCAATTTGTACATGTATGCCACATCACCTATGCATCAAAATGTGTATTTCACTTTTTAAAAGTTAAAATTAAAAGTTAAAATAAATAGTGGTATTTTTATGTGATATGGAAGATTTGGGTGGTATAAATATAAAAAGGAAAGTTTAGGAGGTGTTAGATATATAAATGCGTAAGTGTTGGATGGTGTGCATGTAAATGCCCCTAAAAAATTATGGGGACTAATTTTTTACTTTTGTAGATTCTGTGATTAAAATAATCCAATATAAATAGTCGGGATTATATTAACTCATAACCTCTTACACTTCTAGAGATTAGGGGACTACAATAACCCCGGTAAATAATGAGGGGATTATGTTGACACTTTGCTTGGTTGGTGTGGACTCTCGCAGAGTAGCGAACTCAAATGGGCGTCTCGTTGGGACACTTATCTTCTCATGAACGACGACCAAATCCATTGGTTCTCCATCATCAATTCTTTGATGATCGTCCTCTTCCTCTCCGGTATGGTCGCCATGATCATGATGAGGACTCTTTACAGAGATATAGCGAACTACAATCAGTTGGAGACCCAAGACGAAGCCCAGGAAGAAACCGGCTGGAAATTAGTCCATGGCGATGTTTTCCGTCCGCCGATAAAGTCCGGTTTGCTTTGTGTTTATGTTGGTACCGGAGTTCAGTTCCTCGGAATGACCTTCGTTACCGTAATCTTCGCGTTGCTCGGCTTCCTCTCTCCCTCCAACCGTGGCGGCCTGATGACCGCCATGGTCCTCCTCTGGGTTTTCATGGGCCTCTTTGCTGGCTACGCCTCCGCCAGACTCCATAAAATGTTCAAAGGCACGGAATGGAAGAAAATCACCTTGAAAACTGCATTCATGTTCCCTGGCATCGTCTTTGCCATCTTCTTCGTCCTGAACGCTTTGATCTGGGGCGAGAAGTCCTCCGGCGCGGTCCCATTCGGGACCATGTTCGCACTGGTCTTCCTCTGGTTTGGCATATCGGTTCCCCTCGTGTTCGTCGGGAGCTACCTGGGGTTCAAGAAGCCGGCCATCGAAGACCCGGTGAAGACAAACAAGATTCCAAGGCAGATTCCGGAGCAGGCATGGTACATGCGGCCGGCATTCTCGATACTCATCGGCGGCATTCTCCCGTTCGGCGCCGTCTTCATTGAGCTCTTCTTCATCCTGACCTCAATTTGGCTGAACCAGTTCTACTACATCTTCGGCTTCCTCTTTCTGGTGTTCCTCATCCTCATCATCACCTGTGGGGAGATCACCATTGTTCTGTGCTACTTTCAGCTGTGCAGTGAGGACTACCATTGGTGGTGGAGGGCTTATTTGACTTCAGGTTCTTCTGCGCTTTATCTCTTTCTATATGCTGCATTTTACTACTTCACAAAGCTGGAAATTACAAAATTGGTCTCTGGAATATTGTATTTTGGGTACATGTTGATTGCTTCCTATGCTTTCTTTGTGTTGACGGGGACTATAGGGTTCTATGCCTGCTATTGGTTTGTGAGGAAGATTTATTCTTCAGTTAAGATTGATTGAGTGAGAGAAAAAAAAACTGGAAGGTGATAATTTTTTTTTGTTTGGGGGGTTTTTTGGAAGTAGTTTATGTTATGTAATATTTTGTTTGAATGTTACATGGATTTGACATTAAGGCCGTTTTCTAGGGTTTATTTAAGCTGCTCTCTGTGTTTTTTTTTTTTTTTGGCATTTACAGATATACCAAACTATTCCTATATGTATTGACATATTTAACATCTAAAGCTTGCTTTTTTACATTTCTATCACCTAAATCTTTCACATCACATAGAAAAAAAAATCACTTTTTATTTATTTTTAAAAGTTGAAATAGGAAAAAATATTACTTCAGGAGTACTGATGGATCAGTACTCCAATGGTGAGGTGCAACATATGCAATGGTCCCACCGTGGCGCCACGTGGCACCCCACTATTGGAGTACTGATGCATAAGTATTAATGAGGTAATATTTTTCATGCGTAGATGAGGTGATATTCGTGTAAAAATTGAAGTTTAGGTGTTAGATATGTAGATACATATGACTTGAGTGGTATGCATGTAATTTCTTCGTTTTTTTAAAAGAAATTTACATACATACCACACAATTCCTATGTATTTTTTGGGGGCATTTACAGATATCAAACAATTCTCATGTTTTTTTTGATATTCTAAACTATTTTTTTAATATCATTTCTATCACCTAAATTTCTCACATCAAATTAACAATTCTCAGTTTAGGTGTTAGATATGTAAATACATAAGAATTGTGTGGTATGTTTGTGGATTTACAAATATACTACACAATTCTTATGTATTTACATATATAACACCTAAGCTTTGATGTTTATATTCATAATATTTCGTATTAACAACCAATGATTGTTTGAATTACTATCTATTTTGCCAATTGAGGAAATTTTTGAGATGGTTGTATTTTGAAAATTTTGTTTATAATTAGTATTTTTGTTTGGTATGTTTAGATGTTAAATTGATTAAATTTATGGACTTGTTTGCAAATATTTTCAAGATTAGCGTTTATGTCAGATTGGTAAATTATATAAATTTTTATTTGATAAAGCTTTTTGGTGGATTAAGGGTATTTTTGTGGGTAATTATAGCTTATTAATAAGTTGCTAAAAAATAATATGTTAGAACGATATTAAAATGCTGATTTCAAATGTTTGAGAACTAAGTTTATTCAAATGGATTTGGGTGCGTTTTGAAAACGCGCAATACCAAATAAGCTGTGTCGAATAGGAAAAAATATTACATTAGGACTCTGCACGTGCACGTAGAGTTACGTGCGGAGTTCAATGAAATTACGCCGTGGAGGTGATCGACCCGGTCACACAAGAGAATATTCCCCTCGTGTTATTCAGGAGTTATTGTGTGTTATTTAGATGTTATTGTATGCTATTCATGTGTTATTCTGTTCTGAGAATATTTTCGGTGTTATAATAACACAATAACGCATCAATAATATTTGAATAACACACAATAATACTTGAATAACATGAGGGGAATATTCCTTGTGTTGTCGGGCCGATCACCTCGCGGCCTAATTTCATTGGACTCCGCACGTAACTCTACTTGCGGAGTCCTGATGTAATATTTTTTCCTCAAATCGACCCTTTAGTATGAAATTTATTTGATGTGATTATCGTTAAATCTTGTAAAAATTAATTTGTATTGTGGAGGGAGGAATTCTCATATAAATGTTGTTTGGTCAAAAGAATTATTTGATCGATATAATTTAATCCTTGCTATTTCTTGGTTAAAATTCAGTGGAACATTCTTTGCTTAATAAAACATATATAAATAAATAGATTTTTATATCAAGAAAAAAAAAAACAATTTAATGACAGCACATTAAATTTTTATTTACAAATTTAGCACATTTTTTCATACGTTTTTTTAATATTAAAACTTAAATTTTAATATATATATATATATGCCATATTCTTTATGCATGAAAAGTTTTTTAATATGATGGGAAGGATTAGATAATATGAATGTAAAAAAATGAAACTTTAGGTGTTAGATATGTAAATACGTAGGAATAGAGTGGTATGAATGTTAATGCCCAAAAAAATTATTTTAATAACACTCAAAACATTACTATTTACAAATCTAACAACCCATTTCATCTATTTTTGAAACTCCCACCCCAAACATCAAAATTCACAATAAAACCAAGGCTATTTTTAAAACAACGACCGTTACCTCAGGATTTAATGTCATATATGTATTATAATTTGAATTGTAATTGATAATTGACTGGCCGAATTTTAGCTGATGGAGGCGATCGGCTGAGTGTTGGTCAGTCGAGGAGCTCGATCAAGTGACAATTATCGCCAGTCATGGTAAAAGTGGGTCAGCTTGCCTTTCTGCCGACACTGTTTATTCACCCCCGACTTGCCTTTCTATAGGTGTTGCTTATTCAACCTGAGAGCGACAAAATTTTTGCTCAGTCCACAAGATTGGGTGACAGATCAACTACCTTCTCCATAAAAATGTACAGAAGCTGAGCAGACGCAAGGAGAAACAAACGTAAGATGTCGAGAATTATCCACTGCACCTTATTTATAGTGTTTACGGGCACAAAAATCTAGGGAGTCTAATCATTGTTTAAATTTTAACTATTAAGACTCATTATTGCTTTAAAAATTATTGTGTTCTTATGACAACTATCACTATTAAGAAGCAAGAAAATTAGATAATTTAATATGTACACCAAAAATGTATATACACGAATCTCGAGACAATCAAATAGTCCAGATTAAAAACGGTGATGAGAATCTTCCGCGATGAAAAACAACAATGTTTAAACGAATTCGGCTGACCGAAGGCCACCAAACCGACTGATATGCAGCACAACCGACTGAAGGTCGTCAGCCATCCTAAGGGCTATCGATTGACTGAAGGGTTTCTAGCTGACCTAGGGTCAGTCAGTTGATCGAAATATCCATCAATGCTAACCAAGAACATGCATCCAAGCTGATCACTTTGAGGATAACAACCAAATAAAGGCCTGACATCTCTAATATTCTTACAAGCATCAACACAAAGCTCTCGCAACAGTTCCCTTAAAAATCACCACAGGCTACCAAGGAACAATAATCAGACAATGCAACCGACCACTCAAAAGCCGACTGACCACTCAAATAAAAGCGAACAAAAAATAACTAAATCGGCCGACATAAGAACGTGCTGACCGAAAGGTCTAGATATACAAAAAGATCATAATACCTTATACAGCCCTTATAAAACAAGAATAAAATATGTAATTTTTCATTTTTTTCACTCTATCTTCTATTATCATGTGTTGAGAGCTTTTGAGCTTTTCTCTATATATTCTTTTTCTACGAAGAGCCTCTCTGCCCTTCTTTCAATAAATAAGATGGGTCTCAGAGCACGAGAATACCCCAATTTGCCCCCCAAAGGGTCCTCACGATTGCTAACAATTGATTTTCAAGTCCGTGGTCTACCGCGACCACTCACCCATGCAACAATCCGTATGTGCCGCCGTACTATACACATAGATGTGATCACATCTGGACCATCATCAAGACGTGTTTAAGTCTACATAATATTTTTCCTATCACGGTTAATTGGAGTGCACTTCTAGAAAACCGTAACCCTACTCCCCAAACCAACATAACTGCGTCCAAGAAGAAAGGAAATGTTTTCAATCACACGAAAGCTCTCACCCCTAACCCAACTGCGTCGTCCCCTTCCTCTCCCCTTTCCCCTCTCATCCCCGACTTACAGCCTCACTCTCCCTCCTCCGCCGCCTTGCCCTCCGCCAAACTCCATCTTATCGCTCCTCCGACGTTTCTCATCCCAACCCCCTTCCTCCCCTTCTCCAATCTCTCTCGCTTTCATCCGCGGCGGATGCCATGACGCCGTCCACCCCCATTTCCCCCCTTTCTCTCTCCCCCTCCCCCTCTGCCCCGGCTGCGGTGTCCACATGCAGGACTCCGACTCCTCTCTTCCCGGCTTCTTCTCCCGCCCCTCTACCAAATCCCCCGATTACCACGCCCCCATCTTCCCCCTTCCACTCTCCTCCACCTCCGATCCCGAAACATCCCTCTCCCTCAAATCCGGCCACCTCCAAGAGCTATCGGAAGGAAATCGCGACCATCTTCCTGAAAATTCCAGCTCCGAAGACTCCAAGCCGTTGGTTTGCGCTCGCTGCCACTCTCTTCGCCATTACGGCCGGGTAAGGGAACCTTCCGCCGAGAACCTCCTCCCCGACTTCGACTTCGACCTCATGGTCGCCCCCAAGATGGCTTCCCCATCCGGCCCGCGCTCCGTTGTCCTCTTCGTCGTCGATGCGGCAGACTTTGACGGCTCCTTTCCCCGCAAAGTCGCTCGGCTTCTTTCACCCTCCATTGACCGCAACGCCCTCGCCTGGAAGGAGAATAAACCTGCCAACCTCCCCAGGATCATCCTGGTCGTTACAAAACTTGACTTATTGCCTCCTTCCTTATCCCCGGAGATGCTCGACAACTGGGTGCGGCGGCGGGCGAATACCTTGGGGGCGGCGAAGCTCGCTGGATTGCATCTCGTGAGCGCGGTAAGGGATTGGGGAGTAAGGAATCTGGTGGAGCAGGTGGCGGAGTTTGCTGGGCCGAGGGGAAATGTGTGGGCTGTTGGAGCTCAGAATGCTGGCAAATCGACTCTGATCAACGCCATGGCGAGGTGTGTTGGGAGGAAGATGACCCAGTTGACTGAGGCTCCTGTGCCGGGAACGACGTTGGGGATTGTGAGGGTCGAGGGGGTGCTTTCCGGGCAGGCGAAGCTGTTTGATACTCCCGGGATACTTCATCCCTACCAGATCACAACGAGGTTGACCAGAGAGGAACAGAAGTTAGTTCATATATGCAAGGAGCTTAAGCCAAGAACCTATAGAATTATGGTGAGTTTTATATACTCCTGTTTTTCCTTCTGTGGATTTTTCTTTTGATATTATAATACTTTTGGGATTTCTTTCACACATTGTTGAGGAATGAGGGTGTCATTTGTATTACATAATTTCTATGTATTTATATATCTAACACCTAAACTTTAATATTTAATGGGAAGATTTACATATATACCACATAATTCCAATGTATTTACTTGTATAAAATCTAAATATTGATTTTTTTTGTTTCATTCAGACCACTTTATTATGCATGAAAACATGTATTTCACTATTTAAAAATTAGTAATAGTGATATTTTTGATGTGGTGCAAAAAGTTTGAATGTTGTCAGTAAAGATTCAATGTATGGATGTTAGATTGTAAATACTTAGGAATTGTGTGTTATGTATATAAATGTACTTATTTACTTGTATAATTTACTATAATCCTCAACTTTGCAGCAAATTCAGCACCAATATTATTATTTTTAGGTGAAATACACCTTTTTTATGCATATATTTTGATATGTTTATGCAAGTAATGTGTTTTACACATAAATATCAAACTTTATGTGTTAGATATGTAAATTTATCTTGAAAGTAATAATAGCTTGTTATGGTTTCTACTAAGCTGTAGTGTTTCTCACACCTACAAAGTAAACATAAATCAATATATGACATGTTTTTATTTAAGTGGAATTCAATATACTAAAATTCTGTTGACTTGAGTCACTTCTTTGTTTAATATGTAATTTAAATATGCAATTTAAATATATATTGAAATTGTGTTGACTTGAGTCAGTGAAGAGAATAATTTCTTCTTATCATTCAATTTATATAATTTTCCAAAAGATTCACTATCTATTACGACTGTATGCTAGTTGAAGGTAGCACTATATATATTTTTGAATCTTTCTGAGACGTGAGATCCCGCTAAATTTGTGAACTCATACAATCTAAGAGAGATCTTAAGTAAGGAATGAGAATAATTCGAGGGATTTTCCGGTGTTCCTTGAGGGTGCAGGTCAAAGAGGATAAAACGACAGAGCTTGAGATAGATCACCCCTCCCTCCCTCCTTATTTATATACTTAAGCCTATGTATCCGCACATGGTTCTGAAAAATAATCAGAAAAGTAGGTTATAGTCTATGTAGTACGGAGCCTGATCAGAGTTGTTAACAAGACTGCTGATGTTGATAGTCATGTGCTAATAAATGACGGTATGTATTATGATAGATAAAAATTCTCTTTCTTTTACCTCGAAGAGCTGCTCCCCGAGCTCAGTGATGTAGTCGGCTAGTTATTGAGTTCGGTGAGAAGATCCCACCAGTCTATACTAGTATGGAATAGAAACTCGGGCAATGTAGACAAGTTTGGTTGGAAGAACTCGTTTGAAGATTGAAGTGGGGTTGACCCATTCTGAGAAGCTCGCTTGAATGCTGACGTACTTTGGAGGGACTCGCAGAATCCTTCTGGGCAAAATAAGGAGCTTTACAACTTCTCACTTCCAAAGTTATGACTAATGAATACTATTAATTTGGCCAGCGTCATACCACTAAATGCACAATTGTTGGGCATGATTAATCATGCCTGTGAGGCCCATTTAACATTTGGGCTTTTATGTTGCTTAGCAACTTAGTTAGGGTATGCATTTAGTTTTCCGATTCTCTTAGCTATTCGATAGAATATTGTGAGTAGAATGAGAGAATGAGAAAATAAAATGATAAGTGACCTCTATGTACAGCTAGAAGGATGAGAAAATTGCATTAAGCGTTCTGCCCTATCAAGTTTGTTTGGAGACATGTTTTTATATTTGATCGAAACGATGCTTTCCACCACTAGTAAGCTTAATTGGCCATGCCTTGAAAAATAGTTGCATGAATTTATCATTGAGCTTGGACTTTCCTTATTTTGGGGGTTAGAAGCTACGTCTAGAGGGAGTAGTTGCATGTACTCTCAAGTAATCGTAGAATGTTTCTCAATCAAAAGCCTTCGTTTTCTTGGTGATAGAAGCAACTCATTCCGTGATTATGGCTCATAGATTTTTCAAGAGGATTACTTCTTGCCAAATTACTAAAGGCAGCAATACTTACAAGTACGAGATATGTGACTTATTTGAGTCACTCAGGAAGTTTGCACTCCTGAGAGTGGTGGAGTAATATGCAAAAAGTTTGAAACTTCTCTATTTTATGGGACATCTTGATGTTGAGTTTTTGGGATTGTCATATAATAACTATCAAACAATTTACTATGGGGACACTTGTTGCCCTTGTCGATACATCGTTACGTTGTTATAAGGGAAATATAATGTTAGTAATGGCAATATTAATTTTGATGGTTATAAGAAGAGTTTTTTTTTTTGTTTAACTCTCCGTGTGATATTTAAGGGTTGCATCACATTTATGCTTGTGGAATGTTGTGAGTTGAAGACTTTGTTCTCGTGGTTTTCCCCTTTCCTCTCAAGAATTCACCGCCCTTCGACTTTGCTCCGATGGGAAAGATTTCCAAGGAGAAGATGGATGACTAAGAGGAGCAGTTGCATGGGATTATTCAACGGCACGCATTTTCTGTCCGGACACCTGACGTAATTTTACGTGCGGTGCAGGTTATTCCTGAGTTATTTTCATGTTATTTCTGGGTTATTTTCAATAATTCTAAAATAACCCAAAAATATAAACCGTGTGTTATTTCTGGGTTATTTCGAGATTATTGAAAATAACCCAGAAATAACCTGAAACTAACTTAGGAATACCTTGCGCCGCACGTAAAGCTACGTCAGGAGTCCGCACAGAAAAATTTTTATATTCAACAGAGGCAGAAGAAGAGGAGGCGTTCTTGTACATCATATTCCACTGAAAGTAAGGCTTCAACTCCATGTGATAGAATGAAAGGAGTTTGTCTTGTGGAAGTATAAGGTGTAGTTTTGTAATGCTCACATTACATATGATAATACTTCAATCCATTTATTTTTGTACTTTCTATTTTTTTCTTGAGCAAAATTAGGACGAGTTTATTTGCCGCTTCCACTTGACCATTAATTTTGGGATGATGTACTAAAGTAAATTTGAGCCGTATTATCGTAACCAGATATTGTGTCGACTTAAATCTGAATTTTCGAGAGTCCTTAATCCCTTTTGGGATGGTTTCTGCAATCTGATATTCTTTTACAGGTCAACCCGACTTGGATCTTGCTCTTGCTCAATGCTTAAAACCTTGGGTTCTTCTATGGTTGGTTGGTCCAACGTCATGTGCCTTTTGTGTTCTAGATTTTTTCCCCTGGAATCGAAATCGAAGAAACTTCTCAATTTATGTCTTTGTTTTTGCAATATACTTATGAGGATATCGTCCTGTACTTCACATAGTTTGTTAACTTGGTTAAGCACCAGCTGTGAATCCGACTTTACAAGGAGTTGTCTTCTTCAATTGTTGATGAAAATCTCAATACAACGATTAATGCCTCGTGTTCTGTTTGATTGTTTGTGGCGTTGTAATTGATATGTATAGATTGATAAAAATATGCTCTTGAGGGCTCTGCAGGACCATACCCTCTCATTTCTTTTGGGTTCTAAAAACTTCATCCACAAATAATATCCAAAGCTTATCCTAGATATTGGTCTCGTCGTGGGTTAAGCCTTCTTAGAAATCTGCTAAGAAGTCAGTGACGACGTGGGTTTTAATAGCCATTTTGGGTACATATGAGATATTGAACTCCCTCAATTCGATTGATCACCTCAATATTTTTCCAGAATGATCAGGCCTTGATAATATCAATTTGAGTGGTTGGTCAGTTATCACGTGAACAACATGGGCTTGAAAATAAGGGTGCAATTTTCTTGCGGAGATAATTTGTGCTAATGCAAGTTTCTCTATGATTGTATACCTCAGTTCGATCCACATAAAACTTTACTCTCGTGATAGACAATAAAATTGCTTCTTATTCTCCCCACGGACCAAGATCGAGTTTATTGCTTCTTTGCTAGCTCCAAGTAAATGAATAGTTCCTCTCCTAGCTTGAGGTAAAGGAGGCAATGATAATAAGTCTTTAGCTGCTAAAATGCCAAGTCTCATTCTCCCATCCAAACAAAATGATTGGATTTCTTTATTATATTGAAGAACAAATGAACATGATCACCAGATTTTGAAAGGAATTTGTTCAGGGTTGCAATACCGTCAGTTATCATAGTTATCACGTGAACAACATGGGCTTGAAAATAAGGGTGCAATTTTCTTGCGGAGATAATTTGTGCTAATGCAAGTTTCTCTATGATTGTATACCTCAGTTCGATCCACATAAAACTTTACTCTCGTGATAGACAATAAAATTGCTTCTTATTCTCCCCACGGACCAAGATCGAGTTTATTGCTTCTTTGCTAGCTCCAAGTAAATGAATAGTTCCTCTCCTAGCTTGAGGTAAAGGAGGCAATGATAATAAGTCTTTAGCTGCTAAAATGCCAAGTCTCATTCTCCCATCCAAACAAAATGATTGGATTTCTTTATTATATTGAAGAACAAATGAACATGATCACCAGATTTTGAAAGGAATTTGTTCAGGGTTGCAATACCGTCAGTTATCATGTGAACAACATGGGCTTGAAAATAAGGGTGCAATTGTCTGGCGGAGATAATTTGTGCTAATGCAAGTTTCTCTATGATTGTATACCTCAATTTGATCCACATAAAACATTACTCTCATAATAGACAATAAAATTGCTTCTTATTCTCCCCACGGACCAAGATCGAGTTGATTGCTTCTTTGCCAACTCAAAGTAAATGAATAGTTCCTCTCTTAGCTTGAGGTAACGGAGGCAGTGATAATAAGTCTTTTAGCTGCTAAAATGCCAAGTCTCATTCTCCCATCCAACAAAATGATTGGATTTATTTATTATATTGAAGAACAATGAACATGATCACCAAATTTTGAAAGGAATTTGTTCAGAGTTGCAATACGACCAGTAAAAGCTGGTAACTCTTTAAGATTCTTTGATGGTGGTATATTCAGAATGACTTGTACTTTTTAAAGATTTGCCTTTATTCTTTCAGATGTAAGCAAACACCCAAGAAATTTTCCTGAGCTCACCCCAAAAGTGTATTTTTGTGGGTTGAGTTTAAATTGTTTCAGAATATTAAAAGTTTCTTTCGAATTCTCTTTATGTTATTCGAGCGACTTGCTTTTAATTAGGAGATCATAGGTGTACATATCAATATTCCTTTTTTTAAAAAAAAATTTGAATACAATATCCATCAGTCTCTGATAAATAATCTTGACATTTTTAAGCTAAAAGACATTACATTGTAATAAAAACATCCCTCTAGTAATAAAAGTAGTTCTTTTTTTCAGCATCAGTGGACTGCATCTTAATTTGATGGTATCCTGAGAATGTGTACAAAAAACTCATAATCGAATGTTCTAAGATTGAATCAACTCGGGCAAGATAAAAGATGGTTGTCTTTCGCTGCATTTAAGTTGGTGAAGTCTATGCACATCTTTCTTTTGCTGTTTGTCTTCTCACCATCATCATGTTCACTAACCAGTCAGGATATTGTACTTCATGGTTGAAGTTAATGTCTAGTTGTTTTTGAATTTTCGCTGGATAGGTTCAAGCAATGTAGTAGCCACAACTCTCATCTTCTGCCTGATTTTTCTGGCGCCAGGATTGATATTAAGCTGGTTCCAAGCAAGGTTGATGTTGACTCCAGGCATCCCATCAGCGGTCCAAGCAAATGCGTCGTGGTGATCTTGTATAGTTGAGAATCTGAGATTAATCATTCCCTATATTCCTCACTTAAACTTGACTTGAACTGATTTGGAAAGGTTTTTTTTTTTTTTTCCGACTCTTCTTCTAAAACATGTATCTGCTTCGTTGTCTCAGTAGCATCCAGGCTGATCTCCCTATTCGCGATGAGTTGGAGCAGATCTTTTCATACATCCCTTACAGCTCACAAGTCGCATGTTCAAGATCAAACTAAGTCTCCTCGAATGATGATGATTTCTCATCTCCTAGCAAATTTGACAGCTATGTCGTAAATGAAAGTCATTGCCTTGAATGCGTTGAGTATAAGCCTGTCGAAGATGGTGTTATAAGCTGTTGGGGCATCCACCAGTATGAAGTCTGCCGTAGCTCGTCTCTTTATTCCCAAGTTACTAGTAGGGAGACGACTCCACGGGTTTCTTTTCTCTCTCATATAAACCCATATAGAGGACCAGTATTATGTGTTAATTAAGCATTTTTCATGTTCATCTTGTCAAAAATCTTTTAAAGAGGATGTTGATAAAGCTCATTTCGCCTATCAACATCCTCTCTTCATCAACATCCTCTCAATTTAGTTGTTGTCTATCAATACGGTGACCTCGATCGCGACATTAAAGGATTCCTGCATTAGGCAGGTCAACTTCTGTGAAGGTAATGGGCGGGTGAATTGGAGCAGCTGATTTGGTCACACTGGCAGAGTTAAAATATCCTTCCCTTAATCGCCTCAAGCTTGATCATCGCGGGCTTTAGGTTCGTCTCTAGGATGATCCCCGGATTGGATCCTTGAGGCCTCTTACCTCTCTTCTATCATCGACTTCATATATTATGCAAATTCATTCATTTGTTGTGACACGTACTCTTTGGTGTAGTCTATCATCTCTCTTCCTTCTCCTTCGCGTCCAATATCTCCTTGCTGGATTAGAATATAAATTCCACGTTTATCGAATCTTTTAGGATGTTGAACCCTTTTAAGACTCGGGGTCTTGTATGTTTCGTGAATTCATACAATATGGAGAGTGACCTTGTGAGATAAGTAGAGGGGTGAAGAGAGAGCTTTAGTTTCTCCCCCTTTTTCTCTTTATATGCTCCCTCGGTTGTTCTTACCCTCGTAGAGCTTCAGAATGAGTAAGATAATAAAGAAATGCTACATTATAGGCCATACTACACAGGGCCTATCCGAGATTTCTGTTGAAAAATACTGCCTTCATTGTCATGTGATTCATAAGTGGGCATTGAAAGTGATGTGCTAGAGTCATCTTCCTTTTGTTGCTCGGGTAATTTTGAAGGATTGGTAGATGAACTCGACGGTCTAAGCAAGACAAATGTAGGCGAGTTCAGAAGACTAGCTCAATGAATGTGGGCGAGCTCCGCAAAGGAGCTTGATGATTACAGGGAAGCTCAGCGAAGGAGCTTGCATAGTTCTCTTGAAAGATAACACTTATGGTTATCACTTCAATGGATGTGGTTGACAAGTACAATCTATTAGATGTAAGCTTTAAGCGCATGACAACACTTTGTATTATGGAGTAAAGGCTTGATCAAACAGGGCCATAAGGCCCATTTACATGTGAACTTTCTAGGTAAGCTTAGGAGAGCTACTTTAGGATGTACAATTTATTTGTCATTTCCTTTTATAGTTGTTTTTTCTTTCTTTTTCATGAGATTTTTTTATTGAAATTTGAAAACAAGCAATTCTTTTATTTAATTTCCATAACCTTTGATATTCTTAGATACTGCAGTAACATTCTAAAATGGAAGATTTACATGCGGCCACTCAATTCATATGTATTTGCATATCGAACATCTAAACTTTAATTTTTACATACATACCACTTTACTTATGCATGAAAAAACTATTTCACTTTTTAAGAGTTAAAATTGCTGCATTTTTTATGTGATATGAATGATTTTGAGTGGTATAAATGTAAAAAAAAAGTGAAGTTTATCTGTTAGATATGTGGATACATAAAAATTTGGTGGAATATATGTAAATGACCCTTCTAAATGTTTTCCATATTGATTTTGTGGACAGGTAGGCCATTCAGTTCATATTGGTGGGCTAATGAGGCTTGATGTGGAGGAATCTTCTGCTGATTCAATTTATCTTACAGTATGGGCTTCACCCCTTCTTCCACTTCACATGGGGAAGCAACAAAATTCACATATAATGATGGAAGATCACTTCGGTCGCCAGTTGCAGGTGAGCTTGTTGTGCGTTCGTGTTCGACGAGTTAAGATTTTTCGTGTGTTTGGCGAGTTAAAATTTTTGTGTGCTCATATTTCGCTCGTGCTTGAAATTGTTCATGAACGTTATGCTCGTGTTCGGCATATTCAAATTCGAGCTGAACGTGCACCAATTTTGAATATGCTAGAACCATCTGACTTGCTCACTGACCATTTAATAAACCTGAAAAAAAAAGAATTAATAATATATAATTGGAAATTTACATGCATACCACATGATTCTTATGTATTTGCAAATATAACACTTAAAACTTTCATATATACATTATGCCGCTTTGGTGTCAAATCTATGCATGAGAAATGCGTATTTTGCTTTTAAAAAAGTACGTGATAGTAGCATTTTTTATATTAAAGATGTAAGTGCTATGCATGTAAATATGAGAGTTTAGGGGATTACATTCGTAAATACATAAGAATTGTTTACATTTGTAGCACACAATTCTTATCTATTTACATATCTCACATCTAAAATGTCATATTTGCTTGCATAGCATTTTGTTGCTTTAAATCTTTGCATGGAGAGGTGTATTTAACTTCAAAAAAGTGGTAATAGTACTATTTTCTTAGGTGATATTAAAGATTTGAGTGTTGTATGTATAAATATGAAAGTTTAGGTGTGAGTTATGTAAATACATAAGAATTGTGTGCTATGTTTGCATTAGCTTGTTAAGAAAAAACAAATTCAAGATGACTGTTCATTTTTGACGAACGAATCAAACATCCGCTTCTTCGTAAATTAAGTAATCTCTTCGCAAACAACGAGTTTTTTTTTTTTGACAGTCGTCATTACACATTTGCATCAGCATGAACGATCTTTGTTTCATTTACTTTATAAACACTATTAACATATCATTGTAATCTAATCTTTCTTTTCTCTCTCGATACGAACACAACTTCAGCCGCCCATCGGCGCTAATCGAGTCACCGAACTCGGTAAATTGGCGAGAACTGAGTTCAGAGTGAGTGGGGATAGCTGGGATGAGAGCAAGACCGACATTGCAGCTGCTGGACTCGGTTGGGTTGCTGTCTGTCTCAAGGGCGAAGCTTTGCTGTCTGTGTGGACGTATGATGGAATCGATGTCGTCTCACGGAGTTCGTTGATCACGAAAAAAGCCAAAATATTCGAGGAAGCTGGGTTCACTGCTTCGAAGATAGTCTCTAAGGCTGATAGTATTTTCAGCAAGGAAAGACAGAATAGACCTGCTAAAAAGAAGAATTTGCAGAATATGAAATTGGGCTAATGTGTCATTATTGATGTTTGATGCAGAGTTTGAAAGCTTAGTTGTTATTCAGTTTGGAATGCTGTGGAGCGAGAAAAAATATTACATTAGTACTACGCACGTAGAGTAATGTGCGTGGCCAATGAAATCACGCCACGACATCCCGCGCGACAGAGAAAAAAAACGGCGCAGTAACATGGGGAATATTTCCCCCCGTGTTATTCATGTGTTATTGTGTGTTATTCATGTGTTATTGTGTCCTGAGAATATTCCTGGTGTTATAATAACGCAACAACACATCAATAACACATGAATAACACAAAATAACACATGAATAACACGGAGGAGAATATTTCCCCGTGTTACTGCGCCCTTTTTTTCTCTGTCAGGAATATTTTCTGTGTTATTCATGTGTTATTGTGTGTTATTCATGTGTTATTGTGTCCTGAGAATATTCTTGGTGTTATAATAACACATCAATAACACATGAATAAGACGCAATAACACATGAATAACACAGGGGGGAATATTCTCTGTGTTACTGCGTCGTTTTTTTTTTCCTTTCGCGTGGGGTGTCGTGGCGTGATTTCATTGGCTACGCACGTTATTTCTATGTGCGTAGTACTGATGTAATATTTTTTCGTGGAGCGAGGCTCAAGAATGGAAAACTGCAATTTTGTTAGGATGATTTATTTACATAGATAGGGCTCAATTCCTATGTATTTACACAATCAAACATCTGAACTTCAATCTTTACATGCATATGTATGAAAATTTGCAATTTACTTTTTGAAAGTTAAAATGGTAGTGTTTTATGTGATAGGAAAGACTTGATTGATATAGATGTGAAGCAAAATTTAGTTGGTATATATGTAAAAATTGAAGTGTAGGTTGTAAATACATAAGAATTGAGTGGTTTGTGTAAATCTCCTTAATTTTTATTTATTTGCTGTAAAAAAAAAACAATTCTGTAAGAAAAATACTGATTTTTTATGGTTTTATTTTACAAACTGCTGCTATATTTCTGTTTTGTTATAGTTTATTTTGCTGTTTTTCAGAGATTATGTGATGAAAAAAGAGTTTTTTTATAAATTAACTTTGTTAAGAAGTGAGATTTACATATATGTCATGTTATTATTATGTATTTAAATATTAAACACAAAGTTTAATGTTCATGTGTATGATACTAAACTCTTAGGCATCATATCAAATAAATTATTATTATTAATTTATTTGAAAATAAAATGTAGACTTTGAGGCATATAGTTTGATGATTGATATTAAAATATTGTGTAAATAAGCACTAAAATTTAAGAGTTATACATGTAAATATATAAAAATTATCGGTCAGGTTGAATGTAGTTGTAACTTATTAAAAAGTAATTGTGAAGCTGTTAAAAAATAATATGATGTTTAAAAGGTTGTAATGTCTATTACAACTTTTTTATTCTTAAAATTAGAACTAAGCTAAAAATTTACCACCGCACCAAATGGACCCTACGTTGGCATGTATGTAAATCTCTATTAAAATTCAAATTCATGACGAAAGCTTCCAACTTTTTATTCAAAGTCATGACGAAAGCTCAACATCACTGTCGACCTCCTTCGTCGACCATCGCCGACCACCGCTAACCGCCGACTACCATTGCCGACCATCGTCGACTTCTGCTAACCGTCATCGACCACCACTGACCACCATCGATCACCACCAACTAGACGCCGTCAGTGGCGTTGTAATCTGAAAAATATAGTTACCATTTTCCCGTCTGTGGGATAAGAAATTTCTGTAATCATCAATTCAGTAGTGGATTTCCGCAATTGGGCTAGGCCCAGTGGTTTTTCCCTTTACAGGTTTTCAACGTAAAAATTTCCGGAGTCATCACCTCTTGTTTCTTTTTCATTTATGCGTGTGTTGAACTTTCGTACAACGCTAAGACGATAGTCCGTTCCTCAACCGTTGCGAATTTTTTAGCACGCATCAGTTTGACATCGTTTGTGTGAAGCGAAGTCCAGTTCGACATTGTCTTCAACTCTAAGACACCGAGCCTCTATTTCCTTTCCCAATGATGTACTTCATCCAACTGGCGAAGAACCTTTTTCATGTCTTGAAGATCATCTCCGAAGCATTCTTCAATGTGGGGACCACCCTTCACTGCAGTCTCGAAAGGTCATTCACGTCAATGTCCCGGACACGATTGTAGTCGGGTTGTCTTCTCACATCTTATTCAAACATAAAATATTTCACAAGTTCTTCCAAGCTAGGGGCAACCTTCAATGCAGTCTCAAAAGGTTGTTTCAGGTAACATCCCAGACACGACTGTGGTGGGGATGCCATCGAACATTTCATTCAGATTACACGTTTACGATAATCTCTCATGTATTGGGGGCAATCTTCACCACAAATAACACTTCCTCAACGCTCCCTCATCATACTGAAGTTCTTTTTCAACTAGATCAATAAGTTGAACTCTTCAAGCCCGATGCATGGGTTGTTTTACAAGCTCACATGGAAGCGCCCACGCTGGGGAGCAAAAAGAATCAAAAGTAATAACTAATAAGTTGTCAAACATTTTTCTTGAGTATGACTGTAAACATATTTCCAAAAAAAACATATAGTCTATGCGATATACCCCTAGCTCGTGAAACGCAAAGCATTTCTGACAACTCATTATATGCTTAATTGATCCCATGGGGACTTGATTCGACATCTTCCATTACAAGCTACAATCGTCAAGCAAAAGCTTCAACATCAGCCTCAGATAGGTTAAAAATCCTTGGTGAATTTCCTTCGACATTTTTCATAACAGGTTACGGTCCTCAAACAAAAACTTGGACTAACAACCAAGAATAGGTTAACCATACTCAATGGATTTCATAAGATTTTGTTACGAGTTAATACCGTTGAGCATCTCCAGTTATACAACTCAGAACTGGTCTTCCATCTTCAATGAATTCTCTTTTTCAACCATGCCCCTAGAAGTCAAGCCCAAAAGACAATATTCAATAAGAAGCTACCATGTTGTTGGAAGACGAACCCATGAGGGTCTTCACTGAAAATTCTCAGAAAGCTACAAGTTTCATAAGATCCCATTGTTTGCCTACTACGCATGTCAGGGGTGACTTTTCTCTTAACTGCAACAAGAAAAAAGTTCTTGTTGCTTGTCTTCTACACAGGGCTGTGACGATTTTCTTCTTCACTGCAAGTCTACATCGTAACTCGGCACCGCAACTTTTCGCCGCAACTTTATGCCGCAACTCTTTCCGACAACTCGGCACCGTAACTTCGCGCAACACTCTTCACCGCAACTCTTCGCCGCATCTCTTCAGCGTAACTCTGCACTGCAACTCTGCACTACAACTCTTCACTGCTACGCATTACAACTTTTTTCTTCTTAGGAAATCATGGTCTCGAATGATAGTCTTGAATTCAACGTGTCGCTAAGATGAACCGCTGCAACGCGACGCCGCGACGCACAGCCGCAACGCCTTGCTGCGTCACGTCGCTTCGCCCCACTGCAACACACCGTTGCATTGCCGCGAGGCACTGTCGCAACGCATTGCCTTGACGAACCCCCGCAAACGCACCTGTCATGTAGCCCTAATGCTCCGCCCGTCGCAGCACGTCGCAGCACGTCGCCAAGACTCTACCCCGCATCCCCACTTCTATCCTCCTTAAAAAAAGAACTAACACATTAAAAACTTCATTAATTAAAAAAAAAATAAATAAACGCTTCGTTCTCCAAATTACTGCCGTTCAGTTACCGCAATTGAGTCTCGCCGCTTCGCAGTCCTGGGCCAGCTATTCCGCCATGTGCCCTCTAAATTCCGGTGAAGGAATTACAAAAATTTAAAAAATTTATGATTTTTATGAAAATGGGATTTATGAGCCAAACAAGCTCCCAAGAGCAAGAAGGAAATATGATAATATAGTTCAGGGACGAGAGAAACTTCCATCGAGCAACACTCAGTCATCTAATTATACCTATAGCTATATTACCCTTATAATAGTCCTTATATATATGATAATACAATAATATAAAGATGAAAAAAATGTACTCCGTATCTTGATATTTTCAGATGATAAAATGATCTCGCCCGAAAATACGAGGGCAACGGATACGTCACCAATAAATTTTCATCATCTGACATAAATCTCGAAGCATAACATGAATCTCGAGATAATATTTTGAGCAAGAAATGTTCAAACCTTGATAAAAACTCATCCAAAGCTCTTATTTCAGCAAACTTACAGTCAAGCCGATTGACTTCATGAGACGGATCTAATGATATCAATGTTAGTCCAATCCGAGTTAAATTAAGCCCATATTAAGCTATTAAATCATTTTGGAAGATTTCTAAACACATTTGGAAGGTCAAACGGTTGTTGAGTCTTGCAAGTTTATAGTCGAAGCGAACGTCTTGACAATACAAATCCAACGAGCCAACGAGCCTAAGATCACTCAATTCCAACATCATTAAGACACTTAAATGTCCATTAAAAGTCGTGTGATCGAGGGAAACTTTATGAACTGTCTGATCAAAATGGTTCATATTTCTGCATTAATTGCACTCGAAATATTATAAATAGTCCCTAACCCTTCACATGAGAAGAAGTTGAAGTATTGAGAAAAAACTTGAGGCATTAAGGAGAAGCTGCAATTTAACATCACCGTCGATCTCCGTCGTCGACCACCGCCGACTATTGCCGATCGTCGTTGACCTCCGCTAATCTTCATCGACCACCACTGACCACCATCGATTACTATCAACTAGACGCCATCAGTGACGGTGTAATTAGTATTATATATAACTTGAGCTGATCTCAGACCAATTCGAACCCTAGATGAACCATGCTTAGCAGAACGGTCCGGTCCGGTACGGTCCACAATCTGGACTGCATCCCTTGAACGGCTCCGCCGACCCCTTTCACTCTGCTATCTCTCTTCAATTCACGTTGCTCTTCATTTTCTTCTTCTTCTTCTTCATTTTCTTGAGTTCTTTCTCCTTTCCCCCTTTCCTGCTAACTCCTTCCTTCTTCTGTTTAAGATTTCAGGTCCAAGTTCTTCTCATTCTTCTTCTGGATTTCCACTACCAATAATAAAAATCATATTTTTCTTCATTTTCCCTTCGAATAGAGGTTTGAAGGGAACACAGGAGCTTTTCTTATGGCAGTTCGGTTCTCCAACATCAGGAGAAAGGTTTCAGCTCTTAAATCTAATCCAAGGGTGCGGTATCTTTCACTCCATGCGAGTTCCAAATCATCAGAAGAATCGATTCCAGATTCCCACTTCCTTCAATATAGCAGTCCAGAGCCCCGCCTAATCGACCACACCCCCTTCCTCCTCTTTCCTAAGGTCCGCTTATCAACCCTAGCTAATGGTATTCGTGTTGTTACTCAATCAGCCCCCGTGTTTTCGTCCCACATGGCCTCCATTGGTGTCTGGATTGACGCCGGGAGCCGGTTTGAAGCTCCGGGGACCAATGGAACCGCACATTTCCTTGAGCACATGATCTTCAAGGGAACCAGGCGACGGACTTCTCAGTCATTAGAGGAAGAGATTGAGAATTTGGGTGCTCGGCTTAATGCTTATACTTCACGCGAGCAGACAACCTTCTTCGCTGATGTTCAGGCCAAGGATGTTGCTGTTGCAGTCGATGTTCTTGCTGATATATTACAGAATTCGAGGTTTCCGGAGCACGCCATTAAGAGGGAGCGTGGAGTCATACTCCGGGAGATGGAAGAGGTAGGATGTTGCTTTTGTGTTGATATAGAAGAAAAAGGTGTGGTTTTTATTTTCTTTATGTGATATAAAAGATTTGGGTGATGTGAATGTAAAGAAGCGAAGTTTAGGTGTTAGATATGTAAATACATAGGAGTTGGGCGGTATGTATGTAAATGCCCCTTTGCATTGAAAGATTTACATGCATACATACATACCACTTTAATCTCTATGTATTTACTAATCTAACACCTAAACTTCAGTTTTTAACATATACATGGATGAAGTGCAACAAGCATTCATCAATAACAAAGAGCTGTATACATATCTGTATATGTATGAGGCAAATAGTATAAGGGAATGGGGAAAATGCAGTAAGCATTTCCTCACCATGCAGCCGCAGGTGTCAGAGATAGTGGAGAGCCACACTGTGTGAAATAGAGAATCAGATATGCTCAGGACGCGGTTATTACTCCCCTGCAAGCTGATATTCACTCGGGTGAACCATAGCTTGGTTCAAAGTGATATAAATCTTTGTTTTGGGAGTGGTTTGGTGAGGATATCTGTTTGTTGGTCCATCTAGCTGATGTAGTGGAGTTAAATTTGTTGTTTGTAAGTGTGTTGCCGGATGAAGTGTTACTCAATTTCTATATGTTTTGTCCACGCATGAAACATAGGACATAGGATTGTTAGCAATCGAAATAGACGATAAATTATCACAATATATTGGAGTAGGTTTGTTGATATTCACACCAAATTCAGTTACGAGACGAATTAACCACATGAAATCTATAAATGCCGCAACAAGAGCACAACATTTTGTTTCTGTAGAGGATCGAGCTACCGTATTTTGCTTCTTGACAGTCCAAGAAATGGGAGCATTACCTAAATAGGTGCAAAAACCCGTTATAGACTTTTGGGTTTGGGGATCGCTCGCCCAATCAGCTTCGACTTATGTATGAAGTTATAGGTCACCCATGGAATGTTGCAAGCTGAAATGTTCCGCACCTTTAAGGTACCACAATAGATGAGTTAGAAGCTGAACTTAGTGATCCGAGGACAAGTTCATATGTTGACATAATTGATTTTACCATAGATAAGATGTCTGGTCTAGTGATTGTAAGGTATTAGAGAGATCCCTTTAACTGTCGATAGAGCGTAGGATTGTGAAATGGCTTCCTGCTTTCGACATAAGCTGATTTCTTCAGAGGGAGAGGTTGCTTACTGGTGAGCAATCATTCATTCTGGCACTATGTAGAACTTGAGAAAGATATGTGGTTTGGGTGAGAAACCAAGAGTTAGGTGACCGATGAGCATGAATTTCCAAAAATAGGAGATGGGACCCATATGCTTGAGCTGAAACTTGGAGTTGAGTGTGTTAACTAGTAGAGATATGGTGGTAGGACTATTCCCAATAATCAACATGTCATCTACATAGATGAGAACAAAGAGATTTGTATTGTCGTGATTGTATAGAAGCAAGGTGGGATCGACTTTGCTTGTAGTGAAGCCATAATCCTTGAAGAACTTGGATAGCATAACGAACTACTGTTTCGGTGCTTGTTTCAGACCGTAGAGAACTTTTTGCAGCAAACACACATGCCCTGGTGGTTGTGGATCAATGAATCCCATAGGTTGACGCATATATAACATCGGAAAGTGTGCCATGTAGGAACAAATTAGAGACATTAAATTGGAGTACTTCCTATTATGATGTAGGACAAGCGTTAGAGAGATGCGGATAGTTGGTATCTTCACGATCGAACTGAATCTTTCACTATAGTTGATATCAAGCTCTTGGTTATAGCCTTGGGGAACAAATATTGCCTTATAGCGGGCTGCTGCACCATTCAAATTAAGTGTCGTGGTGCATGTTCTGCGACATCCAAGGATCTGAATGTTGGATGGAGGAACGAGTTTCGAGGTGCCTTATTTTTGAAGCTCATGAAACTCCTCATTCATTGTATGGCACCAATGGGCAAGTTTGGCTGCTTGAGTTTAGCAAGTGGGATCCGGTTTGGTTTGAAGTTTGTGTGAAAGGTTTAGTTTTTGGATGGGTTTGAGGTGGCTCATTTGCAAATGGGTGAGCATATGGTGAGGTATCCATAGATGTGATATGGTGGGAGAGGTGGAGGTAGAATTTGGAGATGGGATTTTGGCAGAGGTGACCTAATAGCATTTGGAGGTGGGAATACATTACGGGTAGTTTTGGAAGGTGGCGGGTATGTGATGGGAGCGAGCATAAGTGGAGGAAATGATGGGGAGGTTTGGTTAGTTTGCATTGAGGGTGAGTGGGGTACTTAGGTATAGAAATCTATGGATAGGTGAGTCATCAAATGTGACATGACGAGAAATGATAATTTTCTTGGTAGAGAGATTGTAGCATCTGTAGCTTTTATGGATGGGTGAATATCCTATAAAGACACAAGCATTTGATCCTGGTGCTAGTTTGTGAGCGGATTGTGGGCGAGTCCACAGTTAGCACATACAACTAAAAACCTTGAGGTGAGAATATGATGGAGGTGTCCTATACAAGTGTTGATATGGTGAAAGTAATTTGTGACTTTGGTGGGCATTTAGTTGATGAGATAGGTAGCAGTAAGAAGAGCATCCACCCAAACTGTGTAAGGTCGGTTGGCTTCATGTAGTAGTGCTTATGTAATTTCAATGAGATGGCGATGTTTGAGTTTAACGACTCTATTTTGTTCTCAAGTGAGACGCCAAGAGTATTTATGGATTGTTCCATTATTGCACAATAAATTATTTAGATCGGCGCTATTATACTCTCCACCACCATCTGTTCCCAGGATATTTCTTTTGGCATTGAATTGGGTTTGAAGCATAGTCATGAGATTTTTTATTTTAAGTGGTGTTTCAGATTTTGTAGACATAGGTTAAACCCAACAAAAGCGAGAAGCATCATCAACAAAGGAAATATAATATTTATAACCTTAGGTAGAGGTAATTGGAGATGACCCCCATACATCAGAATGAAGTTCTAAATTCTTATAGCTATATTTCATACTAGGACCAAAGAGTTGTCTATGCGACTTAGTAACATGACACGTCATACATATATGTAAGGTACGATAGATATTGAGATGTTGTGTTTTGGAGATAGTTCAGAGGATGTTTTGTTGTGGATGCCCCAACCTCTTATGCCAGAGATTGGAGGTGGCAGATTTGTGAAGAGTGGCAGAGAATGCGGGAATGGAGTAAAAAGGGAAGAATCGAGTGATAACTGCATCCTCAACATATTCGATTCTCCATTTTTTTTTGAAAGGGGGAAGAATCGAGTAGCTACTGCTCAATGGAGAACAGAAAGTAAAACCTATAGGTGTGTCCGCTGCTACCACTCGCGGGAAGAAGCACGGTAAAGCCCCTAGGAGGTAAACAACATTGTCGTGATCAAGAGGATTTGCCAAGAGGATGAAATATCGGAGCCCTTGCAAGAATTTCTGGTCCAATACCAGGAAGACAGGAAGAACCGAAGGTGATGAAGTGCAGCAAAAATTGATCAAAAGCAAAGAACTTTATACATATCTGTATATATATGAGGAAAATAGTACAAGGAAAAGGGGAAAATGCTGTAGGAATTTCCGCACTATGTAGTCGCAAGTGTTAGATGGTGGAGAGCCAAACCGTGTGAAAGGGAGAATCAGATATGCTCAGGATGCGGTTATTAATACATAACACCTTTTCTGTGAATGACAATGTGTATTTCCCTTTTTAGAAGTTTAAAAAGTGATATGTTTTATTTGATATGAAAGATTTGGGTTGTATAAAACAAAGTTTAGGTGTTAGGTATGTTAATAGATGTGAAAGGGGCAGTATTTATGTAAATGCCCCTTTGTATTGGAAGATTTACATACGTACCACTTAATTTCTATGTATTTACATATCTAATACCTAATCTTCAATTTTTATATATGTACCACCTTTTCTATGCATGTAAAGGTTCATTTTTTAAGAGTAAAAAAAAAAAAAAGTGACATTTCTGATGTGATGTGAACAATTTGGGTGGTACAATACAAGTGTAAAAAGAAAAGTTTAGGTGTTATATTTGTAAATGCATAGAAATTGGGTGGTATTTATGTAAATGCCCCATTTGTATTTAACTGAGTGGGATATCGTCAATGTTGTAAATTCAAATTTAATGAACCTTGAGAGGATTAGAGTGTTGAGATCATTTGACGTGATGACCGTTAAATCTTGATAAATTGTTTAACTCTTTTTTTCGAGTTTTCGGATTTGTGATAGAGGATAGATTCTCTAAAACGTGCGAATGGTGAGATATAAGAAATCTTCAATATTGCTAAAATTGAATTTTTCAGAAATAGTAGTATTTAGGCTTTGTTTGAGATAACTTTTTGAGTGCTTTTGTTGTAGCACAAATAGTTAATTAAAACATGATGTTTGTTTGAATGATTATTTTCTCATAACCTTTTTGTTTGGGTTAGATTATCTTCAAATGGTTGTTTTTGAGAAAGCATATCTAAAACTGTTGTACACAGAAGTGATTTTTAAAGTCAAAGCAGAAAAGCTAAACTTGTCTCAGTTGAAGTTTTAGGGGCTTTTAGGTGAAGCCTTTCTAATATGATCTATGTTAGATTTACGGATTTAACTTAAATCCAACCAAATAATTAAATGTACTAATGCTAAATCTGGCGATGGTTAAATACATATTTCTTTCCTGTTTCGCCGGTAAATCTTTGGCGGTGCTTGGTGGCATAGAGTCAATAGTATTTATAGACTATTTTAAGGTAAATCTACCTATACATGAAAAAATATGAAATAAATCTGACAGTTTGTCAAAGCCAAATTTCACTCCCTCCGTTAATTTTTGAAGTAAATCTGGATTTACTAAATCTGATATTTAGGTGAATTTAATGGATTTAGTATAAAAGAAAATTAAATCATGATAAAATGCCACACATAAGAGATGGATTTAAGAGGATTTAAGTTAAATCATAGCAAACATCTTCTTGGATTTAAGAACACCTGATTTCATAAATATGGATTTACCGGATTTACTAAATCCTACTTAACCTAAATTCTACGTGCAGCCAAACATCCCCTTGATTTACTAAACTCGGTAATACGATGGATTTGATAAATTTGGATTTGTAGGATTTACTAAATCCTACTCAAGTTAAATCTTGCTTGCTGCCAAACAACCTCTTAAGCTACTTCTTGGTAGGATTGAAGCTAAATCTTACTCAAATCTGGCCCAAAATAGGATGCTAAACAGTCCCGTATTCTCATTTTTTTCTTACTTTTATATCATTCTAATTAGTTGATCTACATTTATATATATTCTATCCATTTTTATTAATTTGTGCATTCTTGGTTAGATAGGTGCAAGGGCAGTCGGAAGAAGTTATTTTTGATCATCTTCATGCAGCTGCATTTTACAATCAACCTTTAGGAGATACCATATTAGGCCCTGAGGAGAATATTCAGGCAATTTCAAGGGTTGATTTGCAAAAATATATTTCAAGTCATTATACAGGTCCAAGAATGGTGTGTAAATATTATAAAGGTTTATTTCAAGTTTCTTCTTTTTCCCTATATTAAAACCTTAGTTATAGTGTCATTATTAACTTATGCTCTAGGTTGTCTCTGCCGCTGGTGCTGTCAAGCATGACGAGGTTGTTAACTTAGTTCGTAAATTATTCACAAAGTTTTCGAGGGATCCAACAACGGCTGATCAGCTTGTTATGGCGAAGCCGGCTACTTTTACTGCTTGTGAGGTTTGCTTCATACTTATAAAAGTTTTTCTTTTGGGTGAAATTTATGTTTATTTACATATCTAACATGTAAATGATATAAGAAGATACACCTTGCTTTAGATATAGTGAAATTTGCGTACATACCACACAAATCCTATGTATTTACATGCCTTACGCCTAAACTTTCATATTTATATTTATAACATTTTGTTGTGATAAACCTGTGCATGACAAGGTGTACTTTGCTTTTAAAAGTAAATGATAGTGATATTTTTTTTTTGAGATATTAAAGATTTGAGTGCTATGCATTTAAATATTGAAGCTTGGGTATTAGATATGTAAATACATAAGAATTGTGTGGTATGTATGTCAATATTAGTGTTTTCTTATGCTATTTAAGGATTAGGATCTTACACGAGCAAATATAAAAACTAAAGTTTTTGATATGTAAATACATTGAAATTCTGCGGTATATTTGTAAATCCCGCCTCCTTTTACATAATTTACCCACTTTTTGATGAGGTGTATAGGTGCGAGTGAATAACGATACGATGCCATTAGCACACGTAGCTGTTGCTTTCAAAGGGGCAGCTTGGACTGATGCTAATTCCATTCCTCTTATGGTGATTCAGACCCTAATTGGCTCGTGGAACAAAAATGCTGGTGTAGGTAATTGTTCAGGGTAAGATGTACCTGAAGTTGCTCATATAGTTTAATCAATATAGTATTCTTTTTACTATTTTTTACCATATAAATTTTATATTCGAAATCTTAGGTCGGAATTAGCTCGCCGAATCAGCACAGAGGGCTTAGCGGAGAGTATGATGGCTTTCAATACCAACTACCGTGATACGGGAGTGTTTGGCGTCTACTGCTCTGCCACAGTAAATTTCAAAACTTACAATTGTTCTGAACTTTGTTCAATTACCTTTTCACTATTTGTATTCTTCTAATGATTTCCCTTTAGATTAATAATTTAGATCCTGGGATTTACATACATACCTTATGCTTATGCATTTACGTAGTAACATCTAAACTTAAATATTTACTTATATAGCACTTTCAGTATCATATTCACATCAAAAAATTACATGAGCAGGTGTATTTCACTTGAGAAAATTTAATCCTAGTGATATTTTCTATATGATGTTAAATATTTGGATGTTATGTAAGTAAATATCAAAGTTTAGGTGGTAGATTTGTAAATACATGAGAATTGTATGTTATGTATGTGAATTCACCTTATATTTATTGCTTTGGTTGAGATTTATGGAATGATGCTTACTTTTATCTTTGCTCTAAATACACTAGAGTTCTCTCTTTTTTCTTCCCTGCCTCACTCTCTTTAAAAAGAAGAGCTTTAAAATCTCATGCAAAGGATTTGACAATGAAAAACCTATAAATTTTATATTTGCATGCTAATAGGCCTATAAATTCATTATTTGCAGTTCACATTCAAATAATATGTCTAGTAGGCTACGTTCAAAAATATTGAAGAGAGTGCACCTGCTTGAGTGTGGTTATAGAAATATATGGACTGATGGTTAGATTATCTGATGGCTTCCATCATTTTGTGAAGAACCTATGAATTTACATGCCATGGCTTAATACTAATAAAATTAACTTGATAGCGCCATAATTTTAGTATGTTTGTTTTAATATTTTCTCAAACAAATGTTGAAAAGTATTTATGAAAGGTCTAAATGAAGAGGGGGCGGCATTTACATTCTTACCCAACATTTTCTATATATTCACATATCTAATACCTCAACTTTGATATTTACATGCATACAGACACAAATTTTTAACATTACTTCACAAATACTGCTATTACTAACTGTTAAATGTAGTCACATCTTCATCCATAGATTCATAACATCAAGTGTTATAAATGTAAATCTTAAACTTTGTGTTAGATAAGTACATACATAAAAGTTGAGTGGTTTGTATGCAAGTTTCCCTTTTTTTTTCTCTTTTTCCTGGAAGTAATGACTGATACCAACTAAAACCATAAATTCTAATAATTTATCTTCTCAATTCGTTCTTAAGTATAAATTTTCTTTTATTGCAAGATCTAATGTGGTATTATGGTTTTTTTTTGGGTTTCTTTTGCAGCCTGATTGCCTAAATGGCTTGTCACGCGTAGTAATGCAGGAGATTAGGAGATTGGCTTATCGAGTTTCCGAAGCTGAAGTAATACGCGCTAGAAACCAGGTGATTGTCTAAACGTATTAAAAATAAAGATCTTGCATACATACCGCTCAATTCCTATGTATTTACATATTTAACGCCGAACTTTCCCCTTTTTGTATACATGCCACCTTATTTATGCATGAAAAGGTGCATTTCACTTTCGAAGGGTTAAAGTAGTGGTATTTTTGGTGTGATTTGAAAGTTTTGGGTGGTATAAATTTAAGAGGTGAAGCTTAGGTGTTAGATATGTAAACACATATGAATTAGGTGGTATGTATTTAAATGCCTCTATTAAAAATTGTCTCTTTTTTTATTAATTTATCAACTTTTATTTTAGCTGAATATGGATGTTTTTGTTACACTGGTCACATTTCTAGTTGGTAACTTCTTTGCTTCTTTTAAAAAATTTATGTGATGGAGAGCTTATCACAAGCAGAGATCTACTGGAGCATGATAAACTATAAGATAGTTTTGTTCCACAGTTTTAGATAGAAAAAACTTGGGACTATTACATAAGGAACATTGATGTTTACAAATTAAGCACTCATATGATTTTTTTGAACTACTGAACAGATTTATTTCTGCATGCCACGATCAAACTATCGAAATTTGATGAAAATGAAAAATATGGTTCGGGGGTTTGCCATGAATTTTGATGTTTGAGCGAGAATTTGCAAAATGAATGAAAGAGAGTGGTTGATTTGTAAATAGCAAGTTTTGGATGGTTTGTATGTAATTTACCCAAAACATTTATAACACTGACAACAGCTTCCAAATTTTCTCATACCCAAACTCTGCTTTTCATGCATAGGTCCAAATGAACTTTAGTTTTCATATGATTGCAATTTATACAGATTATTTGTGTGTTTTGGATTTTCAAATTTCACTTCATTGAGTGTTGCCGGACTTAAATTTGATCATGTGTTTTTTTTTTACGTTTTCAAGAATTTATGTGACAATGAGCTTATCACGTGTCGTTCTACCAGAATATGATTGGTGTAAGAAACTGACGCGGAAGCTAGAGTTTTATTTCAGTTTATATGTCTTGATTTACGTGTTTTAGTTTGTTATTTGCGCATTTATGTTTTCGGATGATATACTTGTAATCAGGAGGAAAAATTATTCCATGCGGATCGGCGTCCGCACGCAGCTTGCGTGCGGACGCATCACATGATTTACGGTCCTGATGTATTTCGGTGGGCCCCACCTAAAATTTTTTATTTTTTTTTTAAAAAACGGAAATAATCCTGACCGTAGATCACCGTGATCTACGGCCAGGATCGAACACCGCATGCAGAGATGCATGCGGTGTCCGCACGCAATAATCGCCCAATCAGGAGAGCCTAGTCTTTATAAATAAGGGTTGTTTTGTGTGGACTGGGAAAAGGGTTTTTAGACTTAGTGTCCATCCAGACCTTGCCCCTGGATTGGCTCTCGGGTGATGTTTTTCCATTATCTCGTTCTTCATTTTATTCACTATTCTTCTCAGCTCTTTCCTATGTTCTTACTGAATTCAATAACCCCCCTTTGCCAGTATCAGAAAGTTTACATCCAACTATTTTTAAGGACATATATATATATATATATGCCGCCTATTGTGAATCTTTGGTTGACAGAGTTTGTAAGAACTATGGAGTCACGGTTTATATATATATT